AAAAAAAAAAAAAAAAAAAAGAATTTTTTTTTTCTCTTTTTGAAACAGACCAGCCAGAAAAATAATGTATGAATTTTAATTGAGGTTGTGGCAGTTTTATATGCCAAATATTTTTTAATTGTAGTTAAGGTTTTTTTGTTTTTGGTTTACTGAAACATGATCTGCTACTTACTGATCATTAGGTCCCAAGTAGTGTGGCATTTGCAGAAATTATTTACTGAGCATAGTTCCTCTGAAATTGTGTACATTTATATCCCCATATATTTCATTTTCTGTGAACAGTTAGTCCATATTGTCAAAACATCTCCAGATGTCTGTGTTCCACCATGAAGAAAGCTATGTCCATTCTCCTGCCCATCCCTCCTACCATCCAGTTCTCTACCCTCCCCATGTTGCACACAGACCACACACCTCACACTTTGTACCTTGCACTTTTGAGAGCAAGTACAGAAATAAATAAATGTGTGGTTGAGGAGTTAACGTGAAATCAGATAATTTTAGGCAGTATTTGCCCTGGGATTCATTAACATTGAAGATTGCAGGCCTGTAATCAACTTTTGTTTGAGTCTTTAAGAGCTTTCAGCCTCTGTATTGTTTTCCATGTGGTATCTCTTCCTTTAGGTTTGTTCCCTTGCTCTTATTTTCTTTAGTTGTCTTCACCAGTGAGGATATGATTAAGCAAAAAGTATCCATAAGCTGGAAGAACATTGTGACTGAGTAAAAAGACCTTTCAGTTTTTAGATGTCTAACTTTCTTTCCGTTCTTCAGTTCATAAACATCTTACAGTCTTTTGAAATGTTACAAGAAGATATATGGTTCAAGTCAGCTTAATAGTACTGTCTCTAATATGTGCTGCAAAGGGTGCCTTTGTGTTATTATTAAATGAACCTGGTCAGAATGTCTAAAGAACAAAAGAGTTTTTTTTTGTTTTTTTTTTTAAATAAAGAAAATTCTATTTAAATATATGCTCAGCTTTTTTATATTTTTCATTTCATAAGTATCAGCATATATGATGTATTAGATAGAAATTAAGTTAATATACTTTCCTTGTTTTCCAGAGTTGGTAATTTTGGAATTTATAGTAATGGTGGGTCAGTATCACCTATTGCCTAGATATATAAGTAATACAGGAATTGCTTCCATTTTTAAGTGAGGAGACTGCTCAAAGTTGGCACTTTAAAACAGATGACGTTCCCTCGGTGACCTACCTTTTTACTTATTTGCACCTATTCTTCTGTCATACGATCACTTACTCAATTTTCAATCTCCAGTGTTCCCCCCCTCAGGCATGGTGAGGTTGGTCAAACCCTGTCCCGGAGATGCCCTGCTCCCTAAGCACTCCACATCCCAAAACAACCACATTTCTTCTCTTTGCCTGCCCCCTCAGAAACTTCTGTTCTCTTGCTGCAGTTCAGTTATGATTGATTAATAGTAATGCCCCTGCCCTTTTCTTAACCCAGAAACCTTTTTTTAAATCTGCTATATATACTATAAGAATAGGAAAGGAGGAAGGAATGTTCACTGCTTTCAACCCCTTTTCTGCAGTTAAAGAGGAAACTAAGAAGACTGCGGCTTTTCTTTGTTGTTACTGAAGTACCATGTACCCATAAACTTTGAAAGACAGACATTCCCTTAGAGAAATAATCCCAACCAGTGTTCCCCTGCCTAACTGGCATTGTGGCATAGTGATAGATATCAGGGCAAATACACTTAATTATTTGCATGTTTTTCAAGAACAGACATTTGTATAACAGTTGGGATGCCTTATTATTACTTAGAAACTTATGTCATAATATATGACTTTTGAGGTCTTTGACGTTAAACTCAACTATGGCACATGGAGAAATCAAGTCATTTCTTTGAAGCCATATCTTCTAAGTCAGCTCCTAGGATGTGAGTTGGTAAATATTAAGTGACTGGAACTTGAGAACATCTCTAGTAGCAATCCAGTTCATGTGTAGTTCAGTGTGAAAGATTTGGGAACTCAGAATGTGGTTTAATGACCTTGGTATTAAACTCCCCCTGGCCCCCATTTTTAAAGACATAGTTATTATATAAGGTAAAATGATTGAACTTTGACTTTGAGAATGTCAACATATGGTAAAATTTAAAACATGTAGAGATATAAATTACCAAAGACACTTGGTGGCTAGCCTACACTACTTTGCCTCTAGTTGTACCAAATTTTCTTGCCATTAAAAGGACTGTGAATTGGAGAATCAAGAGGCACATGAACAAGATGGAAGTGACGAACTAAAGGACTCTGAAGAGTTTGGTGAAAATGAAGAGGAAACTGTGCATTTGAAGGAGTTACTTTCCGAAGAAGAAAACAACAGAGCTCATGAATTAATAGAGGCAGAAGGAATAGAAGATATAGAGAAAGAGGACATCGAAAGTCAGGTCTTTAGCCAGCTGTTTTAAAACATGACTCAGATAAATTAAGTACTAAGTAATAAGTATTTCTTTCTAATTCAATGTGGAAATCTCAGAATTTAAAAAAATATATATTTTAAGTTATTTATAAAGCACCCAGAATCCTGCCACCTAAGATGATCTTTTTAATTTTTGCTCAATTTCCACATACGTATATATTTTTACTTAGTATCTATCATGCTATTTATTCTATATAATTGCTATTCTATATAATATTTCCACATAATGACTTCATAATCTGTGTTTTATACCATAATATATTAAACTGCTTTCTGTGTGTCTAATAGCCATTCCCTAAACTTGGAGGACATTTAGGCTTTAAGTTGTTTTTCACCCCAGTATGAATGGGTATATTAATTTCACTCTGACCTTGCCGCCATTACCTGGTGATAATTTTTTTTTCTACTTTAGCAGATATAAAAGATTAATTAGCATTTCTTTGGAGATTAATTTGCATTTCTTTGGTTATTATCGAGGGTGGGAAGGTTACTTATGAAAGTATAATTTAAAAGCATATAATTTTTTCAAATCTTTTCTTTGAATGAAGTAGACGGTCTGTTCTGCTTTGAAGTGTGTTGGTACGAGTATGTCTAAATAAATCAGTGGATTGGGGAGTTGGTGCTGTCAGTGCTTAGTCACACTCCAAACACTTCTGTTCTCTCCTGATGAATGAAGGGCTCAGGAAAAAGACTTTTCTGATTCTCTCTCAGTGTGACTGTTTCTATGCTGGCAGAAAAAATTACATATTCCCAGTTGACTTAGTACCATGGCATTGACTTAGTACCATGGTATGATAGATGCTGGAAGGAACACAGGGCCAGTGATAGTTGGGTATAGCATAAAAGAATTCTCATGTTACCCAGATATTTTGTAAAGCAGCTGTTGTGTACCCTTTTACTTAGGAAATTGAAGCTCAAGAAGGTGAAGATGATACCTTTCTAACAGCCCAAGTAAGTTTACGTCTAGTCCTATGAATTTGATATTGTGGGTGGAAGGGCTTGGAAGAGGAATCTTATTTTGACTTTGTAATTCTCTAATTCATAAAACTGCCTTATATTTAATAATAAGTTATTTCTGTGGTATATACAAGATACTTAAAATAGGCAGCCAAAATTTCTGTTGCCACAACCATATTTGGAAGTTGTTATAACAAGGTTTCTACCATTTTCAGAATAAAAACAAAAACAGTCCATCCTTTCTAGAAAGCGTAACTCTGATTACCAGTCTTGTGAGAAGTCTGCACTGTGCTTAATTTTTCCCCCTGTGTCACTTTGATGTAAAATAAGTCATTGAAAAGTACTAATCTCTTTTAAAGCTTTATTTAAATTTTTGTAAATTTAACACTCCTAGGATGGGGCTAGTATAAAAATAATAAAAACCTAGAAATGTACTTGAGGTGTGTATGTGTGTGTTGAAAATGACCGCTCTTGTATTGTGTGTTAAAGTATGTTTTTGGTATATGTGTTGTGCATGGTGTACATTTTAAAGCATGACTTACAGATGCTGTAAACAGACATTTATAGCTCAGTTTCTGCAGTGGTTTTTTTTTCTTAGGTTTTTTTTTAAATTGTCCTTTGTTTTGTTCCTCATATCTGTACTCAAGAGCCCTTGTTCATGTGTCCTCTTTAAATAGTAAACTTTCAAATAGAGATAGGGGTTCCCTCTGTTTACTAGATTTAGGAAAAATAGTGATTAGTTCAGTTTTTTCCTCACTGTAATATCTACTAGAAGCGAATATATATATAGTCGGGTTTATGTTCACNGGGTTCCCTCTGTTTACTAGATTTAGGAAAAATAGTGATTAGTTCAGTTTTTTCCTCACTGTAATATCTACTAGAAGTGAATATATATATATATATACACATATGTATATATAGAGTCGGGTTTATGTTCATAGACTGCTTAGCTGATCGCCTCTGGTCATACCTTCTTTCCCGCAGTTTTCTTGCCTTTGAAATGCTGGTGAGCCACAAATGCTAGTGGGACTATATATTGGCTCTCTGTGTTTATTGCAATGGGGAGAAATGTTTCTGATAATTTAGATTATTCAGGAAGGAAATGTTATGCCTGTGAAAGTGTATAGACTTGTCCCCAACACTGTTTCCTAGTACTACGCTCATTTCTGAGTGATAGAGTAGATCAGGAAGATAATTCCCATGTGGAGGAGTGCCTTTTTCTCGATTACTAATTTGCAAAAAGGTGGAGTTGAGTTCTTCATATACTTTGGCAACTAGCTTTTTAAATTTCCATCAGAGGCCAGTCCTACAGTTGTGCAGACTGTGAGTTGTATGAAGACATCATGTCTAAGGGTACCTGTTCACATAAGAGCCTATATATATATTGTATCTTAAGGAATGGGTGCCTTTTTCTAACTTCACAAATTTTTATGGGCTAGATAGAGATGGTATTGTTCCCATTCCATCCTGATAATGAAAAAAGTTATTTATTTCTCATCAGGTGGCAAGTTTTGCCTTATTGTATCAAAAGATAGGGAGGTTACATCTTCAGAGAAGTTTTCTTAAAGTAAAATGACTTTTTCCTCTTTCTAAATAATGTATAGTGAAACATTATACATTACTGTTTAATGTATTTCATCATGATCTAATGTGTCTAAACATGCTTAATGAATTTATGAATATATTGTCTTACTGTGTGTGTATTAGGAAAACTACATAGAGTGGAACCATCACCCAGCTTCAGCTATTGCCAACTCATGAGCAGTCTTGTTTCCTCTATAGCTTCATTCCCTTTCCTTTTCTGCGTTATTGAAACAAATCCTGGGCATCATATTTTGCTTAAAATTTTTCAGTATGTATCTCTAGAGGAGAACTCTTTTTTTTATATTATCATTTCTAATACTAGATTTTAATTTCATCAAATATAGTTAGTATTCAAATGTTTAATTGTCTGTAGTTTGTTTTTTATTTATTTTTTAAATTATTTTTTAAAATATATCTTTATTGATTTCAGAGAGAGGAGAGGGAGAGAGAGAGAGAAACATCAATGATCAGAGAGTCATTGATCGGCTGCTTCCTGCACGCCCCCCTGACTGGGGATGGAGCCCGCAACCTGGCATGTGCCCTGACTGGGAATCGAACCCCGATTGCCTGGATCCTAGGCTGATGCTCAACCGCTGAGCCATGCCCAGCGGGGCTGTAGTTTGTTTTTTTAAAATAGGTTTTGTTTGGATCCAGATACAAATAAAATCTATACATTGTGATTAATTAAAATAACTATTCAGGTCTCTTAATCTTTAGGTTGTTCCTTCCATTTCCCCCGCCCCTGTGCCCTTTTTTTTTTTTTTAATACATCTTCATTGATTTCAGAGAGAGGAAGGGAGAGGGGGAGAGTGAGAAACATCAGTGATGAGAGAGAGTCAGTGATCGGCTGCCTCCTGCACACCCCCGACTGGGGATCAAGCCCGCAACCTGGGCACGTGCCCTGACCAGGAATCTAACCATGATCTCCTGGATCCTAGGTTGATGCTCAACCACTGAGCCACGCCCAGCTGTGCCCCTCTGCCTTTTATTTGTTGAAGAAATTGAGTTGTTTATCATGTAGAGCAGGGATGGGGAATGTCTAGCGCATGGGCCGTATATACAGACCGAGAAATCATTTGGTCTGGTCCTGCCAAAGCAACCGCAGGTGGAACTTGAAATTTAGTAAATCTAGGGGCTTTTTTCATAGCTGATTTTTAGATTGATAGTTTTGTATGGCCCTCGAATGATGTTATGATTATCCAAATGGCCTGTGGCAGAAAAAAGGTTCCCCACCCCTGCTGTAGAGTAAGAGTTGGCAGAGTTTTTTTTAAAGGGCCAGGTAGAAAATATTTTAGCCCTTGTGGGCCATACAGCCTGTCACACCTCTTCAACTCTGTTGTTGTGTGAAAGCACCCGTAGACTGTAGGTAAGTGAATGGACATAGCTGTTTCAATAAAAATATTACAAAATGAGGCATCTAGTGTAGTTTGCCAGTTCCTGTGTAGAGCTTCCAAAGTCTAGATTTTGCTGAGTACATTCCTGCACACAGTTATTCCACATGTTCCTCTTTATGCTGTATTTCCTGTAAATCGGTAAGTTGGTTATAGGATCTAGAGGCTTGCTAGCCAATTCAGGGCACCCCCACCTGCCAACACACAACTACTTCATAGGTAGTGTGTTCCTCCATTCGGATTCATATCATGCCTGGTTGTACCGTCTGGATGATGGTGCCAATCATTGATATTCCACATCCCATTGATTAAAGTGGTGATACTATAATTCTGTCTTTTTTTCCTTATGTAATACCTGGAATGCTTCTAGAAAGAGAAGCTTCTCATTTCCTGTTGGGTTTCTCAGGGGTACCGTTTACAAGGAAAGCCACGGTAGATGTTAGGTTCTTATCCTTTTGTTTTTCAGTTCTCAGAATAATGAGCTGGTTCACTAATATCTCTAACAGTGACTAATGAGGTTTTAATTTTTTCCCCCTTAGTTTCATTTTGAACTCATGGATTTAAATATATTTAATATATTTCAGTCCATTGTAGTTATTATTATTAGTGCTCAAATGGTCCCATCTGTAACTAGGGAGAGCCTCCGCAAGTTGGCTCCTGTTTTCTTTCAACACGACCCTAGTAGTCTGATTGCCTCCTTCCTTTCTGGTATGTACTGATGTTCTAGTTCCTGCTCCAGACCGCAAACTAGCCATTTTTTCTTTTACTGGTAAATGGTATTTCAAGACAGCAATCTCAGTGGTGGAGTATTCATTGCCGATGAGTTATTCATGTTTTCTAGCATTTTCAATGTCCAGAGCTAGAGAATGTGTGTTTTTTAAGATAAAATAGCTTTTGAGTTCATAGGGATGCTTCTAAGTTAATGACTTCATCTAACAGCACACCCAAGACAGTCTCAGGATGATAATACCAGCAGTAATATGATTATTGAAAATAATTTAGTATTTTTCCCCCCAGTTAAGTCTCTTCTAAGGATATACCCCTCTAAGACTGAACAAGCTACTGTTTTTTTATACTAGTTCTGCTCTGTATGGTTATACTATCACCTGCTAATACATACTTAGGTTGACTTGTTTCATTTTATTTTTGGGTTTTAGGTATAGCTTTTTAAAAAATTAAATCTGCAACTTCTTGTGAGTCTGTAATTATTTCAAAATAAAAAATTAGAAAATTTAATCTTATTTTAAAATTTCTTAAATTATTTACATGGTTCCAAGGTCAAAGCTATAAGATAAGATATATTCGAAAAAGTCCCCTTTACCGATCCCCTTATTGGTGAACTTAAAAGTCATGATTTATCTTTCTATTATTTGCTTTTAAAAATATAAGCAAATACATAGTATATTTCTATTGAGATGTATTTATTTAAGGCCAATCTTCAGGCTTTGACTTAAAGCCTAAATCTTTAGCCTTTAGGTGTTAGCCTCTAAACAGTGTCATACTAGATAGAATTTGGTACATATAGCCTTGTTTTTGTCTTAGTAATCATTGCTTCTCCTAGGATAAAATTAAAAGAAATAGAGAAGCTTTGGGTTTGTATTATGTCTGTATATGTATCATTTAGACAGGAAAATTTTCCCATTTTCGTTCTTGTATTTCTTGGTTTGTTTCCTTATTGCAAGGATTTTTAGGCTTATTTTTGACTTTTGGTTTAACCTGAGTAGTGCTATGTTTATTGCACATAACAGTAAAATAAATATGCACTGATGTGTGGCTTATCTTTTTTATTAACCCTAGTTGATTTTGTGCTTCACCCCCATGGTAATTGTTTTTATGTTCTAGAAGCTGGGTAGGAGTCTTCTCCTAGGGGCATTTAAGTATATGGAATAAAGCACTATTTTGAGAAACTAAAGTTATGAATTCCTTCAGAAGGCATGTTGAATAATTTGACATCTAAAGCCTCGGCAGCCTAGTAAGGCAAACCTTCTAGTTAGTTCAGCAGCTAGAAATGACATTTCTAACTGGTAGGAACCATACCAGAAAAGATATTTTTTTGCATCACAGTGTACAGTATATTTAAAGTTTGCTTTTTAGAATAGCAAATAATTTGGCCATTTTTTTTTTTTTTAACCTATCAATACTGCATCTTTAAAAGATGAACTTGGAAGTGGTGTGCTGTTGGCATCACAGATAGATAAAATGAGAGGCAAATTGCATTCCTTAAATTCATTTGATCTGCTTTTTAAGTAAGAATTAAGGTATTCTAGTTTCCTTATCTCTCCAAGATAAATTACTAAAGTCAAAGAGTTTGTAAGAAAAAGATTTATCGATAATTCCAGCATATAACTCATCCTTTGCAATTGCCAGTTGCAATTGCCTATTGCTCCACCCAAATTAAAGCTGTATATTTCTTTCCTTTCCATTCCAAATGTTGCAGATTAGAAATGTAACTATTACAACTAAATCCAGTACAACAATTTGAGTACAATAATTGAGATTATTAGAGCGTAATATAATGGATTTATGTAATACTATTCACATTGCCATCAATAATCAACTTATTTTGGACTATTTTACCTTCTAAGCCTGTGGCTTAGTGGTTCAGTATTTTTAGTTTTTGTCATATTGCTTTAGTGTATAAAACAATTGGTCATTCCTTAATTGGGGCACTTGTGGGTTAACTTAAAGTAAAAAATCATTAAAATGACAAAAATATGCTTGTTATCCAAATGTAGTTTTGATCATATGGTAAAATATTTGATATTTTAAGGAATACATGCTTTTATATGAATCGGAAATTGTGTTGTAAGATAAATATGCCATTTAAAGTTTTGTTTACAGTTAAATGTTGCTGAGTCTTTCACTGCTAGGCTGTGACTCTAAAGCATGTGAGTGGTTCTTAAGTTGTAGTCCTTGGACCAAGGGCATCAGCATCACCTGAAACCTTGTTAGAGATACAAATTCTTAAGCTCCATCCTGGACCTGAATCAGAAGCTCAGGGATTGGTTCTCAGCAATCTGTGTTTTAACAAGCCCTCCCAGGGGATGCTGATATAGACTCCAAGTTTGAGAAGCACTACCCTAAGGCTTTGTATGTGGTAAATTCATACCACCTTGACTGAAAGTCACCTATTTTTACGCATCCCTTAATTTTTTCATTGCTGAGACTATAATGCATATTACTGTGCTTATTCGTTATGATCTTTAATTTGGGAAAATGTTGGTTCTATCTTTGCGCGATTACTTCAGGAATTTTTGCAGTATTTGCTTGGTGTAAAGGTTTTTCCCTTTGGTGTTCCTGTTCAAGGTAGCACACACTTAATTTTAGATTAGGTGAAGATCACATTTTAAATTCAGTCATTTAAAAAAAGTGTTAACTTATTTTAATTACCTTTAGCACAGATACCATTTTTAAAGTGGCTGGCCACCAGTGTCTGTGTGGCAATTATGAATTCATTTTTAACAGATAAGAAGGAATGGATAATTTGAAACTAGCTACTTTTGTAGTCTTCCTTCTTTCTTCTGTTCTGAGATACCTAAAAAGGGAGTAGGGTTTTTGTTTATTTTCTCTATTAATATGCATTTAAGCTCAGGAAAGTGTATGTATGTCTTCAAGTTGTATTTTCTGGTACTATTCTGAATAGTATGCCTTAAGAGTGAACTGAGTTACATAAAATAATCAGGTCATTCTTTTTATTGGCAGCTCTTAGTATGAGTAAGATTTGGGTTATATAAACTAGCTTTGGATACTGAAAATAAATAATGCAATTCATTGTTGATCTAGTTTTTGATGGATTTGCCTGTTTTGTTTATTGGGCATGTGCCACATTTCTTTAAATGGGCCCTGGTTTTTATTGGAAGAGTCCACATTGGTTAGTGATAGGTATCCCTAATTAATATTGTTAAATTATATAGCGATTTAAGTTGACTGGTTTCGTACTATTAGTAAAGTGCAGTTTTAAGTTAATTCATTTTACATTTGATTATTCTTTGAATTTCAGGATGGGGAGGAAGAAGAAAATGAGAAAGGTATGTGTGATGCTAAGTGATATAAACATGGCTGACATGTAGAAGCAGTAAGTTCTGTGCAAATAAAGCATTCCTTGTTTGAAATACTATTTTTGAAATAGTTTATTTTCAAATTTATCAATTTAGTGAATTAAGTTAATATCTTGATTTTATTTTTCAATTGGTTTTAATTTTCTTCTCACACTTCAGATATGTTATAACTTAATGGTGCATATTAGTTACTGTGGTGGACAATGCCATTTTTTATTTAACCTAATTGTAATTTAAGAACATACTTCTGGCATACGGTAAGTTGATTATATCCATAACACTGGCACTGCAGTAACTCATACGTGCTTATTAGAGTTGTACCATATAAACGGATAGTTAATTTTGCAACTATTCCTAAAAATGGTGGGTGACCAGGAGACTGGCTTTTTGTTTGCTGCTTAGACAAACTTTCATACAGTCTTCTGACAGTTTTAGTAGCTTAGGGGAGCTGTCTCATACAACTACAGGGACATTGTAGCAGTACATGTGGTCAGTGCAAGATTTTGGAAGAGCTCTTGGACAGAAGTCAAAGGATCCTTCTTTGGACTAGAAAAGACATGGAGCAGGGTTCTAAGCAACACAAAATAAAAGGCCTAGAAGCAATGAAGCAAAGCTACTGACTGAAAATCTCACATGCCTGAAGCCTTTCTATTTTGGGGGAATCCAAGACATCTTTGAAAATGATAACTCCGGGACTGACTGGACAGGATGAAGACTGGAAATAAGCAATTTCCTGAACATAATGGAGCAGGCCACCTTCGGAGCCTCCGTAGCAGCCTTCCACGTGATTCTGGCCCACCCAAGAACTGAGGAAGACGGATGAAGATGGGCCCTGAAACACTTTGAAGACGGACTGGTATCCTCAGGGTGTGACCTTGCAAGGCGTCGTCATGGGAGTTCCGAAGGTCGCAAGGGCTAAGTCCCAAGATGATTGGAACATTGCAAAACAAACCTCCACATTCGTCACTGTCTCATGGAGGGGAAAAAATCTTCCACATGCCATTAACTTACAACCAGAAATGAAGAGCTGGTATCCTCTGGATGGAACCATTTTTTCACTTTTGTTGTTTGGTATCTGTATATAGGGATCATTTTTGCCCGTGAAGAATAAGTGATCCTGGGGAAAGGATTGTTTATGTTAGTTAATACCCTTGTGTTTTTTCCCTAACCTTCCATCAGTGCTAATAACTGGCTTTATATTTTCTAGGTCCTATTCTAGCTTATGAATATGAAATTGTTTAAACTTCTTGTTTTGCCATATTTATTCCTGTTAAATCCTCTTAGATATAGCAGGTTCTGGTGATGGTACACAAGAAGTATCTAAACCTCTTCCTTCAGAAGGGAGCCTAGCTGAGGCTGATCACACAGCTCATGAAGAGATGGAAGCTAATGCGACTGTGAAAGAAGCTGAGGATGACAACATCTCGGTCACAATCCAGGCTGAAGATGCCATCACTCTGGATTTTGATGGTGATGACCTCCTAGAAACAGGTAAAAATGTGAAAATTACAGATTCTGAAGCAAGTAAGCCAAAAGATGAGCAGGACGCCATTGCACAGAGCCCGGAGAAGGAAGGCAAGGGTTATGAGATGAACGCGAACCGAAAAGATGGTAAGAAGGAAGACGGCGTGAAGGGTGATCCTGTCGAGAAGGAAGCCAGAGAAGGTTCTAAGAAAGCAGAATCTGGAGACAAAGAAAAGGATACTTTGAAGAAAGGGCCCTCGTCTACTGGGGCCTCTGGTCAAGCAAAGAGGTTTGTTTTTCTATGTCAGTTCTTTACGATACTGAATTCCAGCATTCAATAAGATCACTCTACATTAAGGGGGTGGCTTCAAGACCATGTACAGTAATTAGTACTTATGATCCTGCCTATAATATTTTTGACCGTCATAAGTTACTTAAAAAAAAAATTTCAAGATCTTCATAATATGCAGTGTGTTCTACTGATTGCATTGTCGAATTGTCAGCATATATTTGGTTTTTTTGTTGTTTTTTGTTTTTTGTTTTTCCACATTGACAATTTTTTTATTTTTAAAAATCCTTGTGATGATGGTTAATGAACAACTATCAGTCCTAACAACACAAATGAAGTCAAGTCCCAGTTCTGAAATCTGGAGAAGATGGCCATATATCCACTGAATAGAATTGTCAGAAAATCTAGATCTTCAGGCATCTTGGGGAAAATCAGTACAAGAATCCTAAGGGAATCATTTGTTCAAATAACCTAATCTAGATCTTTGGATTGTTAATTTGTGTAAATAGTACCAGTTTGAAATATAGTCAATATCAAGCTGTTCGATTTCTGTTTCTTTGTTTTTTGTTTTCAATTTTCTTTTGGTGATTTGCTTCTTTAGCTCTTCAAAGGAATCTAAAGATAGCAAGACATCATCCAAAGATGACAAAGGTAAGGGATTTTTTTTCTATTTAGTTCAGTGGTAAATTGTGTATTTACATTTAAAAAGGAATAATTGCATGGGGTTCGTTTGACAGTCCTTAAAATTGACATACTAAAAATGTTGGGTGGCCTTTGTGTAAATTATGGAGTTAGACTACAGCATGTGATTGAAGCATTACCCTTTTATTTGTAAACTAGTTTGAGTATGCTAAAAACCCATTTGGAATGTGTTTTTAACGTTATTTTCAAGCAACTGTATTGAACGTTAATATGATATTTTATTTTCCTACATTATAATTTCAGAAGTATTTTATCTAGTTGCAGTCATTTGTAACCTCTACACACTACCACAACCTTTCCCTGTTCTTTGTAGTAGGAAATGTGCTATAAATTATACTTGTATATATTTGTGGAATATGATATTTAAAAGAAAATCAGTCTTTAATATTTGTTTTTACATTTTTCATTCTTCAATCAGGGCACACTTCTATTAATGTAGCCCGTATGCAGTATATTTTAATTCTTCAGAATTTCCTAATTTGACTTATTTTGGGTTTATGGGAATCTTATGTAGGAAAATAGTTTTATTTTAAATTCTTATAAGCTTAAAGGTGCAATATTTGATGGCTTCCTGTTACTGGGAAGTCTCTGGTTATCTCACAGCTATGCGTTATAGTTTCATCTTGTACATATGCTGTCTACATGAAAAATATTTCTTGTTTTCTAAAAAAGCATTTTAAGAGAAATAACATTCAGGTAATAAAAGTTCCAAAATGCCTCTTAAGTGCTCCCCCCAAAAGGAGTGTTGTGTGTCCTGTATGGTATATTTAGTGTATTTTCTAGGCATATTTTACTAGTTGGAAATTTTATGATTGATTTATTAATTTACAATTAATTACATTAGCTACATCCCTTACAGCTTTGGTTAATAGGTAAGATATAATGCATTTATTAAGTGTTATCCTTTAAATTCAGAAGGAGTAGTCTTGGTTAAATGTTAACTTTCTCCTATTAAAAATTTTTAAATCTGTAATTAGAGAAGTATGTGTGCCCAAATGTTACTGGTAACATAAAAAAGATACACATGCTTTTGGTTCACATTTCAAAAGATAAAACAGATCCTTTTGATAAATGTGCTCTTAAGAATATACATACATCAACTATTCATATTTAAAATACTCAAACCAGGTATATGTTGTCTCCTCATAAGTCTGTGTTGACTAATTCTTCAGCTAAAACTTTGGTATGTAGTTTTTAAAAACATTGAAAATTTTATTCTTTCTACATATATTAAACTTGAAGCTATTAAAATTGTTACTTTTAATTGCATATATACTGTTTCTCTTATAGTGCGTAAGAATTAGCTTCCAAATAAAGTCCAATGAATGAAAGTTCCCCTTGTATAGCAGCACATTTGAAGAAAAGCACTGAAGGGTGACTGAGTAGGCCTGTATTCTAAGAATTGTCATTTGTATGTGTGAAACTAATTTGTGTATGGAAATAATGCAGAAATGATTCATACAACCATTTACCTATTCTCAAGAATGTGTAAGGTTTCTGTTTTTATTCTTGTAATTAATGTGTTGTAGAGGATTGTCCTTTATTAAATCCAGGGTTAGGCAACTGCATGTAATTCCCACTTTCTCTTACCCTTTCTCTAATAGAGAATGAAAATGAGCTGGTTGGTTAGTCTTTGTTATTAAACATTTAAATCCTTGAAAACAGTTTATCCCTTGCTTTGATTTTTCCCTCTTGCACTCCCAATTTTTCAGAATCTAAAGCCCATAACAAATACAAGTAACTAAACAGTCTTACGCTCCTAGATGACTGCTTCCTGGTTGCCTGTATTTATTTATGCAGTGGTAGAGTATAAATTATTACACTTAACAGCAAAGGTCCAAGACATGTAGTTGATTTTTTTTTTACTTAAAACTCATGTAGTAGGAAGTGTGTGGTGCTCAGACTTGTTTCCTCACTGCCATTGTGTTGCCTGTTGTGGTTGGTTTTGGTACAGTAAGCTCATACTGTCAGAATTAAATGGGAGGCTTTTGTAGTTCTGAAAGAATATGGTCCTAACAATTTTGTTTTTAAAAAATCCAAGTGAGATGCTTAAACGTCTGATACTGAATCTTTTCTAGGAAGTACAAGTAGTACTGGCGGCAGCAGTGGAAGCTCAACTAAAAATATCTGGGTTAGTGGACTTTCTTCTAACACTAAAGCTGCTGATTTGAAGAACCTCTTTGGCAAATACGGAAAGGTACGTTCTTTTTACCTTTTTATCCCTCTTTCTGTATCTCCATTTGAAATGGACTTATTGAAAACAGTATTACAGAAACTCTCCTAATTTCTTGTTTTTCTTAGGATTGTTATAGGCATAATTATTGAGTTGTGTGGTCACGGTGAGTTTCATCATATTATCTCACTCTGAGTCCTGGGGGTCTTTGTATTAAGAGCTCATATTTTGATCCCATTTAAGCCACGAACTGAGTTTCATTCATCCTGATTTTTCTAGGGCCTAGGATTGCTGAGGCTGATGTGTGGTCACCTGGAAAATATAGGTAGACTAATACTAAGCAGAGGGATATAGAATTGGAAAAAACAGAACAAACGTGGTCCTCGCCGTTCAGTGCCGGAGGAAATGGAGAACTAGTGGAAGGATACTTACTCAGAGGCGACACGCGCCGCGTTGTGCGAGCAGGGGAGGCTTTCCTGTGGTTTGGGTCATTAGGCAGAGTTTCTCTGACAAATAGAGGAGAACTAACGGAAGAGATAAATAGTCAATAATGAATAGTCAATATTCACTGAATAGTTACTGAGTTTCAATTGATCCTGTAACCCTTAGGCACTCCCTACTTTCTACTTTACATTTAAAAATACATCGTATGTTAACCTACTCCAGTGTATGCTTATTGATAACAGAGTTCTTATAGGCTTTCAAATATTTATTAAAACAGCCCAGCCGGGCGTGGCTCAGAGGTTGAGCCTCGACCTAGGACCCAGGTGATCGGGGTTCGATTTCCGGTCAGGGCACATTCCCGGGTTGCAGGCTCTATCAGTGACTTTCTCGTTATTGATGTGTCTATCTCTTTCTCTTCCTTTCCTTTCCTCTCTCTGAAATCAATAAAGATATATTAAAAAACAAACAAACAAATATTTATTAAAACTATTGGTAAATAGACATTAATGCATATTATAAAATCTATTCTGTTGATTTTAGGAGTTGATTTTTTTTCTAATTTAATTAGTTCTTACAAGTGTCAGATACAGAACACTGAGAACTGTAGTCCCATGATCAGCTGTGGACACTTTTTTTCTTTTTTCAAGAATAGTATATTGAATTTAAGAGAGACAGGGAGGGAGAGGGGAGGAGAGAGAGGAACATCCATGTGAGAGAGAAACATCAATCGGTTGCCTCCTGCAGGGGATCAAACCTGCATCTTGGGCATATGCCCTGACCAGGGATCAAACTGGCTACTTTCTGGTGCTTGGGATGCCACCCAACCATCTGAGCCACACTGGCCAGTGCAGCTGTGGTACACTTTTTGTTTTATTTTCAACAATTTATTGTTAGAGATAAAAAAACAATATTTTAATGTTGGCATTTATTAGGACTAAAACTATATAAGGATACCACACACTTGATAAAATTGCTCTTGGCGCAAATTGGCCTTTCCCAGAGTTGAAGATAAAAGCTGAGTTTCCAGCCATCTATACCATAAAACCTCCTAAGCCTGGTTTCCCTTTTCCTGGCATTATGTCTGTGTTCCTCTTTGTTCAGCACTAGATTGATCTCTCACTTTTTTCCTCACTCACCCATTTCTGCCTTGTATCTCCTAACTATTCATTTTATAGAACTGAAATTGTCGCTTTTATGTTGGCAGACTAAATTTTAAAAGGACATATATGGAAAGTGTGTCTTTGTAGAGTACAGTATTTAGGATGTATTTTTAAGGCTGCTTTTTTTATATATGACTATTTTTGAAAGCTTATAGGAATTCATAGAACAGTGTTAAAACTCATTTAGAAACTTTGTAGACACCCTTTTTTCCCCCTCTAAGAGATTCAGGGCGGCCTATAACAGGGAAATTTTGGCCCAAATCTAATTGAGAATGTTATTTGCTTTCATTAAATGAACCATTGCTTCATTGATGTGACTAATTGTATTTTGGCTGTGTATTTTAAAAAATAAAAAATAAAAGTAGGTTAAATTGCTTTTTGACATTTTAAATTGTTCTCTTGAATATTTACTAAGTATTTATAGGCAAGGTAGATGGTGATCACAAGAATCTGAAACATATATATATTCAGTTTATCCTTTATCATTAATTATGTATCCTGAATAGATCCTTTAGCTTGAATAGTCTCAGTTCTGAAGTTTCATGTGTTTAAAAATGTGTGAAGTTGTAGAACTTTCTAAAATATAATCTTATTTTACAGGTTCTGAGTGCGAAGGTAGTTACAAATGCTCGGAGTCCTGGGGCCAAGTGCTATGGCATAGTAACTATGTCTTCAAGCACAGAGGTGTCCAGATGTATCGCACATCTTCATCGCACTGAGCTGCATGGACAACTGATTTCTGTTGAAAAAGTAAGCTTGTCTAACTATTTATGAAAGGGAGGTTACTTTGATTACTAGTATTTCTCAATTTAAAGATGTTACACTGCCCTGGCCAGTTTGACTCAGCGGTTAGTGTTGGCCTGTGGACTGAAGGGTCCCAGGTTTGATTCTGGCCAAGGGCACGTACCTCAGTGGCAGGCTTGGTCCTGGCCCTATTCAGGACACTTGCTGGAAGCAACCAATCAATGTGTCTCTTTCACATCGATGTTTCTCTCTCTCTCCCTTCCACTCTCTAAAAAGCAATGGAAAAAATATCCTTGGGTAAGGATTTAAAAATAAATAAAAATAAAGACGTTACACTGGTAGGAAGTAGAATTAGGAATGGTTTTTATTTTTATGCATTCATTTTTACTTTTTTACTTTTATGTTTTTCAAATTTTCTACCGTCAACATACTTTTTATAATCATAAAAATGTACTTTAAAACATAAAGTTTTTTTTTCTGTTTAAACTTTCCAGGTTAAAGGCGATCCGTCTAAGAAAGAATTAAAGAAAGAAAATGATGAAAAGAGTAGTTCAAGAAGTTCTGGGGACAAAAAAAATATGAGTGATAGAAGTAGCAAGTAAGGATTTATGTTTTTGATAAGTAAGTGGACGTTTCTGGTACATTGATGAAGCAGTTCTCATTCTGTTGTTTCTTGTGTGGGGTGGTGTGGTCAGGACACAAGCCTCTGTCAAAAAAGAAGAGAAAAGGTCGTCTGAGAAATCTGAAAAAAAAGAAAGCAAGGATGCTAAGAAAATAGAAGGTAAAGATGAGAAGACTGATAACGGATCAAGTTGCCAGACTCCAGAATTGATTAAAAAAAGTGAAGACAAGAAGCGAATAAGTATGCTATGTGTCTCTCTTCTCAATGTCTTTCTAATGTATTCTGCAACTTAATTTTTACAGTGGTAGGGACAACTTGAAATGAAAACCAAATAAATATTTAAACTTTGTTGTTAATTGTCACTGGTTTAGAAAAGGAGGTGTAATAGGACTAAGTGTCTTCTTTTCTCCTCTTAGAAAACAAATGTGTTTGCCCCACTAAGCCTCTTTACTGTTAAATCTGGGCTGACCTAAAACAGCCGTTGATTTATAACTGCAGTTCTTTGAAAATATTTGCACTAGCAGATTGAGCTGTTTCTAAAAACGTTGCATTTATGGTCTCATAAAATAAGTAGGTTTTTAAATTTCATATATTGATTTGTGAATATCTTGTCTAGGAATTTAGCATTTTCACATTATATTTTTTAAATGAAATGTTCAGACAGTTATCTAATTTTTGTCTCTCTTAGGTTCAAAGAGCCCTGGACATATGGTAATACTAGATCAAACTAAAGGAGATCATTGTAGGCCATCAAGAAAAGGAAGATATGAGAAAGTAAGTCTGAAAGGGGTGTTGTATACAGTTCCACCCTATTGCAAAAAAAAGATAATTCCATATCTCTGTAACCGTTCTCTATAATTAGCTCTGTCATAATTCCATGCTTGAAAATCTAAGAAAAAGGGAATGCCATTACTCATCTAAGCTTTTTAAATGACCAGCTGAATGTGAAAAGCAAAATCCAAACGTATTTTAACATCTAGTCCTTTTATAATGTTTTTTCTATAGATTCATGGAAGAAGCAAGGACAAGGAGAGAGCTAGCCTTGATAAGAAAAGGGACAAAGACTACAGAAGGAAGGACATCTTGCCCTTTGAAAAGATGAAGGAACAAAGGCTGAGAGAACATTTAGTTCGTTTTGAAAGATTGCGACAAGCAATGGAACTTCGAAGGTAGAAACAGTCTATTTTATACCTGTCTTTAACTCTAGGTACATACTTAATACTATTGGAAATTGTATTCCCACAGAAAACTATTTGCCACTTTTAAGAAGTACAGTAAAACCTAATTATTTCTCAAGTTTGCATGGCATTTTACAATTTTATAAAGTACCTTTCTATCTATTGTCTCGAGCTCAACAGTCCTGTAAAACTGGTTATGCCCATTATATAACTGAAAAAAAAAAAAAAAAGGCCCAGAGAGGCTACATGACTCTTCCAATGCCACATTGCTAATGAGTGGCAGAGTCGGGACTCAGACCCAAGTCTTCTGACTCCAAGTCCAATGCTCTTTCCTCTCCAAAGTTGCTGCCATAAAAGACATGACTTTAAAGGAAATTTTGATTTTTGAGATAAGATAGTCTCCATATAAGCTACAGTGTTCAAATAGTATGTTGACATTTTAGAAAAAAGTTTTTGTACTTTGACTAGAGCCCCAGTGAAGGAAGATTTGCCCTATAAATCTTATTTTGTTCAAGCTCTATCTCAAACCAAGAATTCTCTTTAAAAGAAACTGAGAACAAAACAGAACATTTCTTTTTTTGGTGGCAGTATCTTAGCTGTTCACCATGAGTGTCAGTTTGCTTTTGTATGTCAATTTTTGGGTGCCACTTAAAATAGTCTTGTGAAGATGTTTCATAATATAAATTTCCAAATATTAACCTGTCTAATTGAGACGTAACTTATCATGGAATTTCATCTATTCATTCACAAGAGTGTTAGGAACTACCAGAGATACTTTTATGAACTTAAATAATACTAGGATTGCCACACACTTTGCTAAAAGGAAATAATTCTTGCATTACTCAGAACCCATTTTCCGTTTTTCTGATGACGTCCCAATATGCTGAGCTTCCTATGTAGATGACCAGTTGAGTAGTAGCTACTAGAGCAGCATTGTTCAAAACTATCAGACCCATACCCCTTTTTTATTAAAAAAAAGTTACAGTATTCTGTTTACTATTCTGAAATAAAATTGATATATAATGTACCTACCTATACAAATAGTGTCCCCCAAAATCAATATTATGCTTTAATATTTAATCTCTAATGTAAAGGAGAAATAAAAGTAATTTATAATAAAGCATGTATTCCAGATATGAATGTTTAGGCATGCCTCTCTAATGAAGTAGTCAGATGTTTGTACCCTCTTTAGACTCAATGAGAATGTGACAGCTACAAACACAGACTGATACTGGTGTGTCGTATTGGTGAGTCAAAGACCAGGAGTGGTGCTGACATCATGACATGGTTTCTGAAGTGGTGAACAACTCTTGGTGAAGTTCTCAAGAGAGTATAATCCCCCCCACCCTTTTTTTTTTTTTGCAGGAAGTTGCTTTTCTGTGAATATAAAACCATGCCAAAGCAAACAAGCCAACCTAGCATTCATTAAAAATAAGCTCTAGGCTCAGATATTTTTAAAGGTGATTTTGTTTCGTTTTAATGACATAAATGTCCATTATGTCATTTGAAAGATATTAGGCATGTTGGACAGTTTTTTGTTGTGCAGGACTATCCTGTGCATCATAAGCTATTTGAATCCATTGTCCCTACTCAGTAACTGCCGATAGCAGCCCCAGGGTCATTGTAATAATTAGAAATGCCCCTCAGGTTTCCAGGAGGGCAGCATTGACCCATTAAGAACCACCAGGTTGCTGGAGGAAGACATACTGAGGGACAAAGTACACTGAGTTCCTTAGAGCGGGGAAATGACAAAAGCTATTAAAAGTCTAATACAGTAAGTTAATTTAGTTCAGCAAACATTTGAACTACCTCCTGACTCAAAATTGCATATTACCTGGAGCCATCTATTATAGGCTAATGAATACTCTAAAACAGCCCGTAAGGGCCACCATTTTATTATACATAGCATTTGCTGTAATTCGTGTTGATGAGAATGATCCCAAGTCATCAAAATAAGGGGTACCTTGTTTAAGGAGATAGAATATATACTAGATGCTGGAAATTTTTCTATTGAAAACAATACAAGTAGTTCTGTAAATGCGTATATGTAGGATATCTCCTTTTTAAAATGTTAATTGATTAATGGGCTATCATTATAGTGGGATTTTTATTTAAGCAGGAATCGTCTAAGAGGCAACTATATAAAATTCAGCTGCTCAGTTGACAGTCTTAATAAGTGACAGTGTTGGGGTCTGTTTATAAAGTTTTCATATTTTGAGTTTTCTTTCCAGTTATATTAAAACTACTTAGATTGAATTGAAATTTAAAATTGCCAATCTCAAGAAAAAAATCAAATTCAAAACTATTCTCTTTCACACAGTGCTAGCATAATTTAAGTATTTCTAAATACTGATTTTTGTTAGACGAAGAGAGATTGCAGAAAGAGAGCGTCGAGAGCGCGAACGCATTAGAATAATTCGTGAACGGGAAGAACGGGAACGCTTACAGAGAGAGAGAGAGCGCCTAGAAATTGAAAGGCAGAAACTAGAGAGAGAGAGAATGGAACGCGAACGCTTGGAAAGGGAACGCATTCGTATTGAACAGGTGCAGTCAGAAAATCTTTTCATCTTAAATAACTGACCTTTTCCAAACCCTGTGATTTTTGCCCTGAAATTTGCTTTACTTTGGTAAAGCTTCTATAGAATGAGTTCAGCTGATGAGCATTTATTAAGTGTCCCTGAAAGTTAACAATGAATTAGGTGCTAGTTAAAAATACTTTTAGTAGTCACTTTGTTCTAGCTGATTGGTAATAACCCAAGCTCTGCAATATCATGGCAGCCTAATAGTCTGAGCATAGGACTATGAGTCCAGAGTAGTTGTAATCCAGGCTCTGTCACTATCCCAATCTTAGAAAATAATAACTGTTTCCTTACATATTATAGTGGGAATGATTTCCCAAGGCTGGAAGGAAATAATGCCTCTCTCTGCAGAATTGCATCCAGGGTTTTAAGGCCCTTAGTGTCCATATGGCTTACAAACTCTATTTCTAATTCCCTGGAGGTGCTTTTGTTTCAATCAAATGATTAAATGAAATCCGATCTTTCCAATTACTTACCAGCTTTCACCCCCCAATCTGTTATTTTTAATGTTGCAGAACAGTAGCCATAGCCTAGATTACTGATTCCTGGAGCCAGATTTATTTATGTATTTGTCCCAAGTGTTTTGCCTATGATGGTTTTTTAATGACAGGATTAAAACACGGTTGCATATATACTTACCTTGTGTTTTCATTTTGCATCGGTTGGCTCTTCCTTCTGGGTTGTCTGAAGGAACGACGTAAGGAAGCTGAACGTATTGCTAGAGAACGAGAGGAACTGAGGAGGCAACAGCAGCAGCTGCGTTATGAACAAGAAAAACGGAATTCCTTGAAACGCCCACGTGATGTAGATCATAGGTAGTTATTTGCTTTCTTCTTTTACAGTTACGCTTCCTATCTTGTTCCTTTCAAGCCAAAACAAACTAGAGAACTAGCAAGTGCAGGCAGCCATCACTGGAATAGGAGGTCATGATCAGAGATGGGAATGATTGTAGCAGGAGTGGGCCCAGTGCATGCCAAGCAGGAAGAGTCCGCCTTTCTCCGTTTCCTTCCTGTGCCAAATGTTTTGACTGGAAATGCGTGGTCATGGTAGGCAGGCTTCAGCAGTGGTGCTCACACCCGCTTTCAGAATCTTACGGGGTACTGCAGGCAGTGCAGAAATGGATGTCATGAACTTGGGAAGACTAAAATAGAGATTCTGTTTTGTGTGTGCATGATTCACAATTTCAAAAATGTAATACAGTCACTTAATTTTCTTAATATATATATAAATTCTATGAGATTTAGTTGATTGTGTTGAGAAATAGATGTAGTGAATTAATTGTGCTTGGGGCTTACCTCTCTAACCTTTCCAAAGTTAAGTATAACCAGAAAGATTATATGCTATGGTTCGAATTCTACTATTAAATGGTATACTGAATATTTTATCTTATTTGTCTTTTCCATCTAATAATTTTAAAACAGACAGTTTTTCAACTATTTTCTCTCCTGTGAAATTCCTCTAACAGTATATGACTTGACATAATTTAATAATTGATTGTTAGCTCGTACTCATAACAGAAAGTTTTGTGTTTTAAGTTTATTAGCCCTTAGTATCCACAGTTCCTAGCATGTGGTATGTATGACTCCAAGTAAGGCTTGTTTGGTTATTGTAATACTAATTTATATAAATGAGCAAATATTTCTCTTCAAGGCGAGATGATCCTTACTGGAGCGAGAATAAAAAGTTGTCTCTAGATACAGATGCACGGTTCGGCCATGGATCTGACTACTCTCGCCAACAGAACAGATTTAATGACTTCGATCACCGAGAGAGGGGCAGGTTTCCTGAGGGGTCATCAGTACAGTCTTCATCTTTTGAAAGGTGAATAGATTTTGTTGAAAATTGTTGTACTTAGTGTATGAGCCTTGCCTAGGGATAAGTTTGGTTCTCTATTAAAATCTTAATGAAGTACAGGTCAGAACTAAGTGTTCAAAAGAAATTGTATGTTTGGTATTTGTTTTTCAGGCGAAATAAGCTGTGTATTTGAGGATTTTTTTGCTGTAAATGGCCTCACTCTGTGCACTTTTTGGTATATTCTGGTATGAAAACACCTCAGTATTACAATTCAAGAGTCAAGACCACCCACCTAGGAAGCTGTAAAAATGGGTTTGAACAACTAGGACTTAGAAAGGGAACTAATTTAAAATATGAAACAGCTCTGAGCACCATGCTTAGAAGCTACACAATATCAGGTGCAACAAGCTGAACTTGCATTTCCAGGGAATGACATTCCTGTTGGCCAACAGGTCCCAAGCTCACACCCACCAGGTGTAACTCTTCTTTCCCTTTTCCTTTCTCCGTGTGAAAGATTCTCAGAAATGACCATGGAAAACATCCATCATTGAAATTTACTCTGTGAACCAACTCCTGAGATGATAAGACACGTAGTTTACGTGATGACTTTCTATACTTTGAGAAACCCTCCGAGACTAAACCGCCTATTTCAGAACCTAGATTTCCTGGCAGCCTTTGTCCTTCTGGAGTAAGACAAAAGACAGTTTACTGCCACGTGCGTCAGCCGCAGCTAACCTGTCCAGTAAGGATTTACTGTAAGGGACAGTTTAACTGGTAGACCTCTGTCCATGCTTGCTTTATAATGATTTTAGACCAATTTTTTAAAATAAGTTCTAGGCTTCGAAAACGTATTTGATCCTTTTGCTGGTATAAGGAAGTGGAGAAACCTTCCCTTCAAATGTCAAGCCACCTAAAATAATTTGCTCAGGAGTTATGCTCCATGGAACAGTCATCAGTCTGGTTGCAAACCTTTGTTTTCCTTTACTTTATGTTCTACTCTTCATTCTCCTGTCCAAATATAACAGTGCTGCAACATAAGGAATAAAATGGAATAAAAATAAAAAGCCATCCTCGCCTTGGCCAGTGTTGCTCAGTGCTGCATGTCCTCCCATGCACTAAGCAGTTGCAGTTCAGTTCCCAGGCAGGGCACATGCCCCGGTTGCAGGCTCGATCCCCAGTAGGGGCATTTAGGAGGCAGCCAATAGATGTGCTCTCATATTGATGTTTCTCCCTCTCCTCTCTTCTCTCTAAAAAGAAATCAATTTAAAAAATCTCTAAAAAACAAAACGAAACAAAGCACCTTCATTTTATTCATGGATTCTGTGAACTGTCCAAATATGCCTATGAATGTCAGCAACTTCTCGCACTCATTCAAATCTCTCATGTTCTTATAAGTACAGAATTTATAAGGGACAGCTAAAGAGGATTGTAATATGAGGAACATTAAGAGTTGGCCAGGAAAAACAAGTAATCAACTAAAAGTTGCAATAATAACCCAGATTTAAACAAAAAATAAATTTTCATCTTGGATAACAGGATAAAACTTCCGTGTAACATCACAGTCTATGTTAGACTGACAGTATATGCATTAATATACTAGATTTATTTCTTCTACCGTAGCTGCAAATATATTAAATACTTATTTCTTTAATCATTTCTCTTTTCCTTAATGATGGCATTTAAAACTGAGTAACAGTGTTTAGCACTCATTAATTTAGAAAATATAAAAAGGCTTTAGGAAAATAGATACAGTGGACTCATTTTCATATACTATTTGTTGGGGTGAAGTCTCCTTTTGGGGATACTGGTGAACAGAACATTTTCTGGTGTGAGTTATTGCTTTTTGGGCTTATCACAAGCAGATAGTTCCCAAATCTTATGTTTGCCAAGATTATCTTGGCAAAACTCTCCAGCTGCACAGCGATTTCATCTGTTCTCTTCTTGCATGTTTGGTTTTTGTTACTGGGAATGTGATTCAGCACTCAAAGTTAGTTTGTTATAGGCGCCCATAGTGAGGTTAAGTAGGCTGGCTTTACCTTCCTAACCATGACAACTAACTGGGAGTACTGTTGGATTCGGATGCGCCTCGGCTGTTAGGAGCCGTGAAATGTCCTTCAGGTTGGTAGTGACTTGAGTGATGTAATCTCTCCTGGATGCTAAAAAACCAGTCTTCATGCCAGACATTTACCTCAATTTAAAAGAATATGAGTTATTATAATTGTGGATTTTTTGGTGGCTTTGCCTTAAGTTAATTTTTACAGAAAGTGTAATTATTGTAGTTTATGCAAATACAGTTGATGAGGCCAAGTAAGCACTTCTCGGGACCTGTGTTCTTTGTTTTGGATAACCAACAGGCGAGAACGCTTTGTTGGTCAAAGTGAAGGGAAAAAATCACGTCCCGCGGCACGAAGAGAAGATCCAGGTTTTGAAAGGTATCCCAAAAGTTTTAGTGACTCTAGAAGAAATGAGCCGCCGCCACCCAGAAATGAACTGAGAGAGACAGACCGGCGTGAAGTGCGCGGGGAGCGGGAGGAGAGGCGGAGCGTGATCCTGCACGACAGGCCCG